CAACCAATCCGGGAATTATTAATCAACTAATCTAGCTAACTACTCTGGGATTATCAACCAATCCGGGAATTATTATCAACTAATCTGCTAACTATTCTGGGATTATCAACATTCTAACTTCAACCGACCATTATCATTTTCTGAGATTCAAGTGAATGATAAAAAAAAGTTTTGATTGATTAACATACATGGGAAAAACGACGAAAATCCCAAATTTTAACAGTTTCATCGCCACCAGTTGATGCAAGATATCTATCCAAACAATCACCATCAAGTGAAGTAACTGGAGAAATATGTCCAGTAAAACGACCAACAGGAGTACTTATACCAGTGATACTTCGTGTACTGGCTACACGTCTATCCCATACCTAAATTTTTTACAAAGAAATAGATGAAAAAATATGATAAGAAAAAAATACCTTACAATATCCCTCCGGACCTGCAGTACAGTATACATCTGGATTAGTTTTACAACAATAAATAGCCATTGGATCATTTGGATGTGCTCGAAACTGCAATTTATCGTCGATGAAAAGTCTAACTCGAAATTTCAAAATTTTAAAAATTCTTTAAAATTATTATATTATTTGCTAAATGGTTCAGCAAATGTCAACTTTTATTGTCGCAAGAATTTTTCTCTTTTATAAAATTTCAAATTTTAACAGCTATATCATTTTAATTCTTTGACTCCATACAATAATTATCCAAAAAGCGATAGATTGCTGTTTGTTGTTTGGTATAAAAATGAAATAAACAAGTACAAAATTGATAAAATTACCGCATGGATAAGATCATGTGTCTCATTATCCAGCATGGTGACATAACCATACAAACCAGCAACTAAGAAGTAGCTATCATTCATGCTATAACGTAAGCTCGGAAATAATGGCCTAAAGTTTGTATATTACTGATAATATAAATCAAAAAAAGGATAATTTTGATAATTAAAATATAACCATTTTATAAGTAATCATCATTAAGGCATAGTTAACATATATTTCTACTCTATTACCTGCTTATTTACTTATGCATGTAATTCATCGTTTCCGGAATTAATCCGTATGAAGAAAAAATTAATCCGTCCGTACGGATGAATAATACTCTTCCACTTTGATGTTAAACATAAGTATATGAATTACGTGTAAATGTTATAAAATCTTGTCATCAACAAACAGGACGTTTCAAACCAGCCAAATATTAGATCAAAGTGGGAACCAAATGTCATCATCGAATTATTCGGCAGAAGTTTTGATGTATTATTATTTTTAGTTAACTAATCAGTGACAATTATCTTTTAGGCTTACCAATAACAAAGCATTATCTAGCGTCAAATATATTAATTAGTTACTAATTAACCTCCCATACTACAACTACTTTAATAACCACGATAGAATAATGTAACGATTATCGAAATTAAATACATTTAATGGAAATGAAAAAAATTTGAAAACAGACGGTAAAAATAATTAACCTATTTCGAAATCTAGGTGCAGGTATTATTCCACATTTCTTACTCCAAAGTAATTCTACTTCAAAACCATCAATAGAATAACAATAAACTGCAATTGATGATATAAAAAAAAGATGAGAAAAAAAAACTTGATAATACAGTAATACTTACATACTTACTTTCCATCTTATCTTATCAACTGTTAAGTATTTTTATGAAATGGATAGCAAATCTAATAAAATTATATTTTTAACTTTGTTAAATTAATGTTAAAACTATCATTTTGCAATTTCCCACTTCAGTATTTAATATTATACAAAGGAAAAAAAATTTTTTTTTCTTTTTCTTTTTTTCTTCTTTTTTCTTATCACAGGAGAAAATGAAAATTTTACCACGATCATCGCCTGCTGCGCAAGCTATTTGATTAAAGTTAGGACGAACAGTAATTTCATGAAACCATTTTATGCCATGTGGTATACGACATTCCCGATAAAACTTGTATTCTTTCGAATATCGGATGTAAAAACGCATTTTTCCATCTAAAATTCTTTTTTTTTCTTTTCAATTAAAAGTTTTTTCTACAGAATTTTTGAAATCAAAGAAAAAAAAAGCGTCAAAGTACTGAGCGCAAAATGTAAATGTCTCGTATATGCTGAAAATCTTTTTAATCTATGATAAACATTTGCTCAATTTTAAAATAGCCTATTTACAAATCTATTCATTTCTCTTCTAAATTATCATGTCAATGAAAAATGATATACCTAAATTACTGTACAAATGAAAAATATGAAAGAAAAAAATGAATGATGAAAATGATAACGTGATATGATCCGGCTTCATGAATTTTCTTTTCCTTTTTTTTTCTTTAAAATAGCAATTCATTTAGTATGCATTAATTACCTTGAGCTGCAGTAACTAATTTCTCGTCCGGTAAATGCTCACAGCACAACATTTGAACCGGTAATTTTTGAATTACAACTGGCCGATTTGGACGAAATCTATGAGCGGTTAATTAGTATAAAAGTATAAAATCGGTTCACTATAATAAGGGGATGATAAATTTAAGTGAAATGATAAAGTTTAAACTTAGTGCTAATGATTGATTTATTTAGTAAGAGCTAATGGATGTTATCAATAATATTTATCAAAATCTAATAAGTTCTTTTTTTTCACCAACCTATTAGTAAGGTTAATTTTTTCACTAATTGTAAATGATCCGGTTGCTTTTGGCACAGATGATTTCTGATTACTTATGAATCTTTCACGTTTCCCAATCTCACGTCGTTTCAATAATTTTAAAATTGATATATCTGTTAAGAAAGAGGTAGGCACAGCTGTTGTCCATATTTCAAAGTCTTTTAATTGCTGAAAAAAAAAGTAGCAGTTTGTTAAAGAAAAAAAATAGCAGTTTATTTTGAAGAAATTCCTAAATCGTCAAAGCTATTTCATGGAAATTTTTCGTTTCTTAAATTCGAATTCGAATTTGATGGTAAGAAATGATAACAAAAATGCTACTTAACTAACCCTATCTTGACTAGTTGAAGCCATCGTTCATTTTTAAGTGATAATATATTTGTTATCTTACACTCTTGCACTGTCCTAATTTGAAATTGTAATGGAATAAATTACCATTGAAATATACTAAATGATCAGGTGTGCAAGTACCATTGTTAAAGTTAATATCTAACGAAAGAAATAGAAAACCTTCATGTCGAAAATATCAAAAATGATAAATTTTCCATTGGTATCATCAAATTCATTAACTGATATCAAATTATCGTATTACCTATCTTCTATAAGAGTAATAACTATGGGATGATCACTGAATTATCACAATTTTAAAACTTGATTACTTAAAAATTTGCTCATGTAAAATTTTCAACTATTTGAAAATTTAACTTAAAATGCAAATGATTAATTATCAAATAGATGTGCTCAATTTATCAGTTTTTTTTCCCTATGCATGAATTACTACTAAAATGAAGCAAAGTAATGAATGCGAAAGCAATCAAAATACATTATCAAAGTAATTAATTAATAATTCATACCAAATATGCATAAATTTCTCTGTCAAAAAAAAGAATCTTTCAGAATTTGTCCTTCTATTAAAATAACTTTAACACTTAATTTATATAAACAATCTTATTAACGGGGAAATGATTATTATCAATGGCACCCTTAGAATTACCACAAAAGTTATTGATAAGATGTGGAAAAAGTTAGCAATTACCGTATTGATGAATGGGAAGAAAGTTTGGCTTAGATAGAAAGGAAATTAATTGAGTTAGATGAAGAGAAGAGAAAAATTGTGGAAATGTTAATTAAAGTTTAATTACATTTAACATGAATTTTTCCTTTTTTAGAGTGCAAAATAAACACAACATAGCAAAATATCGATTTTGTCCTTTAATATTCAATAATTAAATTCAAACTAATAATTTGCTTAAAAATTCATCTTAAACGAAATTGCATGAAGCTAAATTTAAATTTGGAAAATTTTGAAATCTGACCCATTAAAAGATTCCTAATACAGAGAAGTTAATAAATTACCAATAAAGATATGATCAAAAAGTTCATATTATAAGTGACAGTCAGGTGATGCATCAAATTATTTCGGTTAGTCCAATATCAATATTTACAATGGTTAATTTGAAGTGATGCGATCATCTCTCTGAGATAAATGTAGCTAGCAGACGTCGAAGAGTGACGTTTGTGAGTTATTAGCTAAACAGACGTAAGACGTGACCTTAGATGGAATGTGATGAAAAAACGTCTATGTTGGTTGACGTTACAAAAGTCTTTTCAAGAAAATCTAATTTGATGGAAGGAAGAATTAGCTATGGCAAAAGATGGATGACAATACGTAGGCACGTGAGACTATTTTGTCCGTCTTCCAATCTTCCAACTAATCGATATTAAAATGATAGCTTTATCACGACGGACTTAATATCGTCCATTACTCCCATAAATGAAAGGAAATGTTGGAAGTGGACTATCTTATACTTATCAGTAGAATATCCCCAACAAGATCTAAGCACGGCGATTCTTGATCCCTCCCGCTTTCTACTGACCATTCATGGAAACTAATAGATGATTCTCGAATGGAAAAATAGCGGGAAAGTCATTAGCACCAAAGGATTGGGTAAACAGTGTCTTCCGCTAAATATAAAGGTACAATCACACGGAATATAAGGCTAATCATCCAGAATCCGTATATTGTGATAAGTTAATTAATGATAGTTTGAACGTCTCCCCATTCAGTCGGTCATTATTGTTGTTGAGAGAAAAGAGGACTGGAAGAAATGGCCAGAAAAGCAATTCGGTTTTCTGAAGGTAGTAATGATTGTAATTCGACTAAGATATTTCATGTCGATAAAAATCCTATGATCTGCAATTGAGATTGTGGATAAATTTGACAGAGTTGGCCTCACTGAGAGTAATCTGTAATTGTTGGCCTGATTGAGAGTAATCTGTAACTGTTAGCCTGATTGGTAGGAATCTGTAAACTATTGGCCTGATCGATAAAAACCTGTAACTTCCCTTTTCTTTTATCTGAGAACACAAGCACTCTTATGACTGAAAATTACTTTAAGTTAAGGCTAAAAACGATTGGTAATTTCGATTGGAAAATTTCTGATGTATTAATAAAGAGAATTTATATTAATTAACTGCGGCAAAATTTTGCAGATATAAAATAGGACTGAATAAATTTGATCTCAGATAGATCTGACCTTAAATATAGATAATGATAACCACAAAATTCAATTGGATTACTTGAAGAGATAGATCGAGGAAAGCTGGCCAAACTTAAAAGCCAAGCAATCCCAACATCGAAAATATGACAAAGATGGATAATGGATCAGTAGTGTTTTTCTGTGTTCAAATGTCAAAGATAGCCTGCTATGGATATGAACCATTCTGCTGACTGATGCTTGGCAACATCTATAATGTGTCAACAAAGCCTACTGCTTCAAATATTCCAGAAAGTGAATCCAAGGGTTTATGTTGTAAAAATGAGTATTAGTGTTTATTGTAATATTGCAAAAATGTCCAGGCTATTTTTGTCGATTACATCTTCATCCTCATCTCTTTGATAGTTAGCCTAAATTTGTTGATAAGATCCAGATCGTTTTTCTTGACCGAACCACTGAGATACTGTGGTAAGATGAAATTGGGATAAATCTTTAAGAAGTTTTTGATGATCTGAAGAGGAAAATTTGAATGATTTCACTTGTCAAAATATTATCGAAAATTAAGAAATTAATAAAATTGTTAACAGTTAACAAGAATACTTCGATAATGGCAAATAAACAAAAATGATCGATAATGAAATATTCTCGAGAATTTACTAAAGAGAAAAAAGAAAGATCCGGTAATGAAAGTGATACAAATGTGTTGATTTCCGGTAGATTGTGATGAAAATTTGACTCACCAAAAAGTTTCTGTTAAATCGGATTGGATCTTCTGACATTTAATGTTGAACATGATATTATTAAATTTAAAATATAAGCTAATAATACATGACGGTTATTCTTTTTATTTTTATTTCATTCCATTCCTTTCATTGCTTTCCTTTTCTAGTAGGTGATAAATTATGCAAAAGAATGATCCTGACCTATATCAAAAAGTGGAGCGGAATCATTTCATCATATATTTCGGTTTTTATTGTTGGATATCAAATGAAAGATTCCGGAAATAAATTATTCAATGATTTATCAAAAAGATTACGAAAATAAAACAATGACTACGGATTACGGTAATAAAAAAAAGAATAGTATTAAGCCATATGTCATTTACTAATCCGGTAAACTGAAATGATCTACTGTTGTTCATGAAATTCACAAAAATCAGTAAAATCAAAATTTAAGTAACGAAGTTATTGTAAAATATAATAAGAATAAGCATCCGATTTAGCACATGAAATACGGTTTTAAATAATTCCATACAAACAAATGCATTCTAAATATGGTTTTAAATAATTCCATATACGACAAATTTATCATCAAAAATTTCTCCGTTCATTCGTAATTATCTTGTTCTTCTGTGATTACTTTAATTACCGAATGGAAAAAATCAAAAATTAATTAATTACCTTACATAATCCATCAGCTCTCGCAGTTTAAGTAAATGAAATGAATGATACTTGATAAACAAAATAATTAACCTTCATTTTCACACTCGCATTTCTAACCACGCATTTCAATAAATCTAATTTTCCATATTATTACTGCATCCGGAATTCGTTTCGGATCAGGTTATATTCATCAAATGGGTGTAAAAATTTTTTAAAATATTCCAACAAAATTTCACTACTATGCAATACTACTCTACTAATACGATTATTAATGAATTAATTCATCGATGCTAATGATACTTATACAACTATCGCTTTGTCTAATTACCAAATATGCATCATCCAATGTGTAATGCGCGGAAAAATACGCTTATCTATCTCTTTCTTTTCATGAACAATCACTTTTTTCACGTAAAAACGTTGAATTTCTTTTAAAATATATAAAAAATAAAGAAAAATGAATAAATGATTGAAATTTATAGAAATAGAAAATGAAATTATTCTCTTAGAAGTGAAGATCAACATTTGTCAACAAATTTGCCGAGAAGGTCAATAAACAAAGATGGAACATCATACCATCTATTATGCAACACTTGTTGCATATTAATTTGCATAAAATGTATGTTTCTTCGCTAATGTGATTAGTCAGACAATAATGAACTATAAGATTGAGTAGCCATTTGAAATGACCTTACACTGATAAAAATTTCAGTTCTTTCCTTCAATACTTTATCACTTAAATTTCATTTAGTTTTATTTTTTCATTCATTTTTTCCTGTCTATTCCTTCCTATATTTTTCACTCTCTAACTCGTTCTTTTCCTACTTTTTGTAATGAAATACTGATAAAATGAATCTGTTAAGAATGATAAGAATAAAAAAAGTGATGCCGCATTCATTCGTTGTTGTATAAGCAAGTTGACTTTCTCTTGAACTACAAATAAAATAGGTGACATATTCTTCCATATCAGAAATACGAAATTTATTCACGAAACGATAATCTTCTGATTGTCGAAGAAAAAATGATAAGTTCTTATCTGGAATAATATCAAAAGCTAACGGATGAAATTGGCCAAAATTCATTGATGAAACAAGCGACATATCCAAAAAGCTGATTGTAAAAAGGTCACATCATTTCATTTCTTTTATAAATTTCGGATTCCTCCGGGTCAGAATCCGGGATATTTCAAGAATTAGTTACGTTTTTCATTACCAATATTTCTTATCTCATTGATGCTTAACTATTTCCTGAATCGTACTTCATTAAAGTAGGATAAAAAAATATGATAGAATAAAATATTATCTTGATCTAGAGAAACAAATCTTTTGTCTGGCAAATGTAGATAACGAGGTATAATCGAAGAAATCTCTGCTACTATACTTTTTCGATTTGGTAGAAAAATAACAAAATTCAGAAAAAGAAATGAAGAAAAAAAGTTTGGTTAATGGATGTGGAAGAAATAACTTACAAGACATAAAGTGACGTGACACGACGAAACGCGACATGACGTAGCCATTGCTCAGATGGCTTTTCTACTTAATCAGAAATTATAATAAGCATCACCAATCTGCTGCTTTCTCAGCTGATGAAAAAGAAATGTATTTATTTGGTGTGAATGGTACATGGTAACTTGGTATTCTCCTATGTATACCTTATTTGATGATTTTTAATCACTCTTGTGATCGATATCTTCGGTAAAGAAGCACCCGACTTGGTGTTATCCTGTTTCTTAAATCGATTTCTCGCTGAAATATTTTTGAGAAATTTTAATTTAAAAGAAAAAAAATTTTTTGAAATGTCACGAACGAAACATAAAACTGACTTTTCTGTCACTTACATTTCTGTCATCTGTCGTCACAAATCAATTCCTTTTAAAAGTAATAAGCAAATATGTTTGTAATCTGCCGATGTTCCAGATGGAACAAATGCAAGTTGACAAAGAACAATTATTGACTTGAAAAACAATCAATGACCTTTTGATTTCATCCGAAATTCTTCAACAACGTCAATTTCACGGATTACTAACCGGTGGAATGATATTATGAAATTTCCACTGGTCGATCTTTTTTGGATAAAGAGGTGAATTTTAATAATCAGATGTTGAAATACCTCAATGTTCGGTCATTTCAAAGAGGTAATGCATCGAATACACGAGCATAACATCTCATCTCTGAGAAGACGTTCACAATGTTAATTCAAAAAAAAAATCCTTTGTTACTAAAACCAGATATTTTATCAATAATATTGATTAGTTTGATTTGATCTCCATCGTTTGATATTTGAATTTTTCTTCCTCGATAATATCAAAAACTCTGTATTACACATTACTTTGCTTTTGTAGAAATGCATCAATTATTTGCAACTAAGTGATGACGTGAAAACCGGATGAACTTTTCTCACGTTTTTTTACGTAGGAACAATTGCATTTAAATGATAACGTGTAAAGTAGAAAATTTTTGTATTCTTGAAAGTATCTTGCGTACGTGACACAGACGTTTTTTGTATTTACAAATTTTTCCTTATTTCCAGTTCAAACTTGGGTAATTAACCATTAGATAAATATAACAATATTAGTGCAATATAATCATTAAGATTTACAAAAAGACAAATTAATGCATAGAAAGAATTCCAAAAACATTGCCAGACGATAAATTTCGAAGATACCAATCTAAAGAATAGAAGACAGAGGAGAATGTCCTGTTCTACTATCAGCATTACATCCTTCAAGGATTACAAGGATTAGCCCCTTTGTTAACTCATATTGATAAAGCATTCTTTGTTAGCATACATTAATGAAGGGATCTTTAGATAGATTGCTAAACAAAGAGTACGTACGTATACAATTATTCTATGCAATGATATTATCCTATTCATACGATCGATATTTAACCTCAATCATGATCCAATATGGTACAGTACATCATTACATATTCATTTATGATTTATGACACGGAAATTCGCCTTTATTCGTAACAACGTGACGAAATCGTAGGGATAACTACTTATAGTAATTTCGAAGTTTTCGTTAACAAAGGGAT